GCATCCTACATTAACTTCAGTTATAAAACTTTTATTATATGATAACTAACTTCAGGTTTAAAATGTCAACCTCAATTTTGACATATTTGTAATCTTCATTAAAAATCCTTTAAAATGAGTACAAACGTGATACGATTAATTTCAATATTACTCGAGATATTAGCAACTTCCGGTTTGAAATGTCAATGTCATTTTGACATATACTTAATTTTTATAAAATGTGTTAAAATTTGTCACAAAAACGGAAATATAATAAAAAAAATCAAAAATTAAGGTTGGTATTAATATTTAAAAATTAAATTGCTATCTTTATTGTTGCTAACTTCAGGTTTAATGTTTTTTATTCTAACTTTTTTGTTTTTTGAGATAAGTGCATCATCTTTGGACTCACTTTAAAGCTTATTTTATGAAGATTACGAATATAATAATAAAATTAAAGTTGACATTGGCAACTGAAAATTTTTTTCACGACTAAACCCAAATGTTTCTAGTTTTAGTTCAATACAAATAGACAACATAGTAATATTAAAGCCTTTAAAACTAACATTATATCTAGAACTAGAATCATTTGGGTTTAGCCGCACGTCTCTAAAGACGGCTAAACCCGAATGATTCTAGTTCTTGGTCTAGTGTTAGTTTTACTTTTAGTTCAATAAAAACATACAACAATCTAGTACCGCATAATAATTAAAACTAGAACTAACACCAGACCTAGAAAGTTGTGTTTGATGCCATGTCCACTTATTTTGATTCTTTATTATCAATCCAGACACTTCTTGAAATCATCCTTTTGATATCTTTCAACATTAAAATTCAAGTTTTAGGAATTGGAATGAATTTCAATCATTAAAGTTCTTTTGTTGGATTCAAAAGTTTCTGTTATAGTTTCAAGTTTTGATACAATTTCATGGATTTGCAGAATTTTCGATAAAGTTTTTTGAAATAATATTTAAACATTAAAATCAAAATTAATATTTACTTCAAGTTTTGAAAATTTCCAAGGGTTTTGGAAAAGTTTGATGTATTATGTTTAACTTTAATGAAGTTTTTTTGATACTAAACGTTTCAGTTATAATTTCTGATTTTGATTCTTTCCTCAATTTTGTTAGGTTTCGATGAAATTTTTTGAGCCAATATTAAAGTGTCAGATCAAAATTGAAGTTTTAGGAAAAAGCCAACTATAAATTGAGGTTTTGGAGAAGTTTAGAACATATCCCTAAAATAGTCTAAATGGATACATACCAGAGCTTTCAAAACGAAAGAACACTAAAGTATTAATAATTTTGTAAAGATATTTAATATCGCATTATGAGTTGTTTTTCTCACACATCAATTTCATGCGATTACAACAAATTACACAGTTTGAAACGCTAGTAAGCAGTGTGTGTATGTGTAGAGATTTAATTCGTTCAACCTTGTATTTTCTTTGAGAGTTCCTTAAACTTGAAGTCTTTTCCATAGATAATTATATTAAAAAATCAATGTACTAAGTAAGTAGCAATGAAAGTCCTTGATATAAAAGTTGATTACAACGATAGAAATAAACTAATTACGACGGTATTTTTGTAATTTAAAATTTCTAAACAAGATCGTTTCCATTAAATTTTCATTTGAGTGAATCACTCAGTTTTATTAGCGATATCGTGCGAAATATGTGTGTTTATAGGTACAATTCTCGGCTTTCTCTCTTTTTGTTGCGTGAATATTCCATTTCGTTGCGCAATAAAAAAGATGATGATGATGGAACATGCAACAATTCACAAATAAAACAGTAAATGCGACATCAATTATACAAAGTTGTTTTGCGTAATTGTCCCCGATAAATTTTGCATAATTTCTAAATAGATAATAGATACCGGTCATCAGGTGCAACTATGAGCACGCGGATTAATATTTTTTTTATAAAATTAACCTTTGACACTTAACACCGTGCAAGTATTTTGCTTGGTGATAAATTAAAGAGTTTCTCTTTAAGTATTACATCAATTGATATTGAATATCATGTTAAAAGAAAATAAAGGTCAAAAGCCTTGAAATAAAGTGAACCCAATAAGAAAATTGCGTAACCTTCGCGTGGCCAAAACTAGTTTAAAAGTGACAGTCGAAAAAGAATTTTTTTTTTCCTAATAATTTTTCAAGAACTGATTTCGTTATATGATTCAGTACGTTGTCGACGCTTATGCAAGAGAGATTCATAAAAGACAACGGATACCAACAAATGAAAAGGTGAGTCAGTTAAAACAGCTTTTTGCTCAATAGGTCATACTCAATATGTTATTATGTGACGATTCTTAATGATATACAGAGTTTAATCATAAAAATTAAATACAGTAAAACCTTGATATCACGGACTTTGGATATAATGAAATAAAATGTTGAATTAGAAACATTCAGGTTTAGCCATTATTAAAGACATATCGAATGTTTCTAGTTCTAGGTCTAGTGTTAATTCTACTTTTACACTAGCACTGTTACTATGTAGAACTTAACACTATAGCTAGAACTAGAATCATTTGGGTTTAGCCGCACGTCTCTAAAGACGGCTAAACCCGAATGATTCTCGTTCTAAGTATAGTGTTAGTTCTAGTTTTACACTGTCACTAGAACTAACATTAGACCTAGAACTAGAAACATTCGGGTTTAGCCGTGCGTCTCATAAGACGGCTAAAGCCGAATGATTCTAGTTCTTGGTCTAATGTTAGTTCTACTTTTAGTTCAAAAAATATACAACAATCTAGCACTGCATAACAATTAAAACTAGAACTAACACTAGACCTAGAACTAGAAAGTTTCTATTCGAACTATTTGTTTTAACGGATAAAACTAATCGTCTAAGAACCGATTAACCCGAAAGTTCTAGGTCTAGTGTTAGTTCTAGTTTTACACTAGCACTATCCTTGGAACTAACATAAGACCTAGAACTAGAATCACGCGGATTTAGCCGTCTTGAGAGACGTGGGACTAAATCCGAATGTTTCTAGTTCTCGGTCTAGTGTTAGTTCTAGTGACAGTGGTAAGTAGCGCTAGTTAGCATAAGATATTACTATATTGTATATGTTTATTGAACTAAAACTAGAATGAAAACAAGAAACATTCGGGTTTAGTCGTGAAAAAAGCTTTCAGTTGCCAATGTCAACTTTAATTTTATTGTTATATTCGTAATCTTCATAAAATAAGCTTTAAAGTGATCCAAACTTGACGCATTCATCCCAAAAAAACCAAACAGTTCGAACTTTTAATTTTGACGTATTTGTCAACTTCATAAAAAATCCTTTAAAATGAGTCCAAACTCGACATATTTACCTTTAATATTGATGGAAATAGAATCACTTCCGGTTTGAAACGTCAACGTCAATTCTGACATATTTGTCATCTTCATTAAAAAGCCTTTAAAATGAGTCCAAAGATGACGCACTTATCTCAAAAAACAAAAAAATTTGAATAAAAAAACATTAAACCCGAAGTTAGCAACAATGAAGATAGCAATTTAATTTTTAAACAATAATACCAACCTTAATTTTTGATTTTTTATTATATTTCCGTTTTTGTGACAAATTTTAACACATTTTATAAAAATTAAGAATATGTCAAACACATTTCAAACCGGAAATTGCTTATATCTCGAGTACAAATCTTACAAATATGTCAAAATTGACGTTGACATTCTTAACCGGAAGTTGACTATAACTTCATTAATATTGAAGATAAATATGTCGTGTTTGTACTCATTTTAAAGGATTTTTAATGAAGATTACAAATATGTCAAATTGAGTCAACGTCAACGTCAATTCTGACATATTTGTCATCTTCATTAAAAAGCCTTTAAAATGAGTCCAAAGATGACGCACTTATCTCAAAAAACAAAAAAATTTGAATAAAAAAACATTAAACCCGAAGTTAGCAACAATGAAGATAGCAATTTAATTTTTAAACAATAATACCAACCTTAATTTTTGATTTTTTATTATATTTCCGTTTTTGTGACAAATTTTAACACATTTTATAAAAATTAAGAATATGTCAAACACATTTCAAACCGGAAATTGCTTATATCTCGAGTACAAATCTTACAAATATGTCAAAATTGACGTTGACATTCTTAACCGGAAGTTGACTATAACTTCATTAATATTGAAGATAAATATGTCGTGTTTGTACTCATTTTAAAGGATTTTTAATGAAGATTACAAATATGTCAAATTGAGGTTGACATTTTAAATTTTGAAAAATTATTAATAAAAAATTAATAAAATGTGCAACTTCTGACTCGCTAAAATAATTTATTTACTCAAAAAGTTTCATATTCAGCTTAATCTATCTTAATCAATCTTGTAACACTTGAATCATTCGACTTTAGCCGTCCTATGAGACGCACGGCTAAACCCGAATGTTTCTAGTTCTAGGTCTAGTGTTAGTTCTAGTTTTACACTAGCACTGTTACTATGTAGAACTTAACACTATACCTAGAACTAGAATCATTTGGCTTTAGCCGCACGTCTCTAAAAACGGCTAAATCCAAATGTTTTTATTTAATTTTTCTTTTTGCGTTGTAGCTAAATAACAATAGATGGAAAAATTCACATATCACTTTCACACTTTATGAGCAGATTCTACATTAAATGGGGAATCTTTTGATACCAAACTCTAGTCGTAGGTAGATTTAGTTCACAACCATATGTCTACTCAAACATAAATTATTCATTAACTAGCAGTCTTATACAAAAGAAGAGATAATGAAATGTTTGATAAAATAGATTTTGGCCAGCAAAACAGCGTTTCACCCCACTGTGAGGCGAGTTTTAGTTGTTATTGAACGTTAGAACGTGGTACATTTTTATTGAACTAAAATTAAAGGAAACTTTAGTTTAAGTTCTGGCTGCCTCGGACTGGTTCGGTTTCTAAATAATATGTTATTATTGAAAACCAAGAACTTATATCGAGATTTTACTGTACTTAAACAAAAAAATTATTTAACCTAAATAAAATCTGAGATAAGTTATAAATAAACATCGAATCCCTATCATCAAAAGAGAATATTCTCACATCAGTGGATTTCATTCATACAATGTGACGTAACTGGATGAAGCGAGTATTGATTTTATAATTCAACTCGGTGCGGTTCTTTCACTCCTAAACATTAACTCTCCCAAAACAGTCGTTGAATACAATTCGAGAACAAAAACACGTTTTAATTAAAACAAAATTTGTTTGAAGGAAAACCTTAATCTCGAAATAAACAGTAATAAAATGAGTTATCGCGTTTTGTTTATCAAAACTGCAAGTTGCGGTTAGAATTTATTAAGTTGCAATAATAATTATTAGTTGAAACAGAAAATGAAATGTTTTAGGTAAGTTTTTGAGTAATTAATTTTTTATTTTCAAAATTTTATTTAGTTAGTTAAGAAGTGTGTTAGTTAATGACGGGTATTTTGTTGCAGATGGGTCCATAATGCAGATGTTAAAACGACTTGCCTTAATCCTATCAATATTTGTAATAACTGCCATGATTTTCGATTTTAATTGGGGCGAACGAAATTTAACCAATGAGGAAGAACGCTTATTTTATGGAACTGACAATGTCCTAATACCTTATTCGTTACAAATTGATTCTAATTGGAGGCAAGTTCCACATGAAATCGTAAGTTAAAAGTGTTTCAAAATACTAGTTTCGGAGCCTATTCTTTCATCATCAGTAATCTCCTAAACTATATTGTAATTAAATTGTTACTTTTTAGTTATTCCATGCTTGTTACAATTCCAAATTTGTAATAAGTTTAATACCACTATTTTCATTATCACCATAATCAGAGTCACTTTGTATCTATACAAGTCCTTTATAGTGTTAGCGCTAAAAAGATGAAGTGTAGAAAAGACAAACAAAAGTTTCTTGCAAAATCGGAGGAACGCCTTTCTGCTCGAATAATGCGGATTTCGTTGCGACCTTCAGCTTGCTATTCTGCTTATTGACTAATTTGTACTACCATCACATCCATGATCTTCGAAATTAGTTTGAATTCGTTATTACAGTGTTGCAACGTTCGAGCACCTTATTAAACGATAAGTCTTGATGACTGGGCTTTAATTTCTCTAAAACATGTAAATTTAGCAACAGAAAAACTGTTAGATGTGTGTGGGCGGCTTACACCAACTGTTCAGTCCCCCTTATAGTTTTGATATTGTGGCTTTTCATCTGTGGAATCTCTATTTTGCCTATGTCTACGGCACACTTAACTTTTGCAGCGTCATTTGGAATCCTCAGTATTTCTCGTATAAATCTAGAATTGAACGTATTCAATCTAAATTCCTCAAATACCTTTGCTTTAAATTTTCCGTTCAATACATTGATTATGGACCAATTTGCACTTCTTTTCGTATGTTATCCCTCAACCAGCGTCGCTTTTGTGGGGATATTTTATATTTTTACAAACTTATGAACAACAAGTGTGATTCTCCAATGCTTGTTGGTTCTAAATGTGTTCATGTTCTTCCGAGACTACTTCGCTTTGACTTTCTATTTATGACATCTACTCTTAGAACAAATGCCTGTCAAAACTCTCCTTTATTGAGAATGGCAAGATCAGCAAATCGTCTTAACATAGATCTATTTCAACATTCTTTCTATGCATTTAAAAAACTGCTCTTTGCTGCAGTTGGTATGTTGTCTCGAGCTAATAATTCATTATTATTATTGTGAACTGTCATTTTATTTGTATACAATTGGTTGTATGTGGTACAGTGTTATTGGGTTCGACCTATTTCTATAACTACATGAGATAAATAAATAAATTAACCAGAGCCCACACTGTTTTCACAGCCAGCAGCGCCTGGAGAGCGGCTTGATTGCCTGAGAGAAATCGTACTGCCATATTCTTCAACTCTCTCTCAAGAAGGATTTTAGCACCCATATCAATAGCAAATACTTCCGCCTGGAATACAGTATAGTACGTACCCATACTGTAAGCTTGCTTAATCCGAAGCCCCGACCTCATCTGCAAAATGAACATGCAAATATCTACCTGAACCAGGTAGTACAATGGTATCGAGACTATCGAGCATTAATCACTGTCAAATCTGATGACATTGATAGTACAATATCAAATAGGCCAAGCAGACACATGCATTGCTAGAGTTAGCTTTGTGCTTATCGCACAAGAGATTGCCAATCCAGTTACTCGTTGAATTCGTGAAAGTTTACTGATAACTGAAGTGTGTCGGGCTTCCCTATACTATTCTGCCGCTCCGTATGTGATCATAAATCTAACCATAGTCACATAGACCCAGTACAATATTCAGGGGTAAGACCCCAATTTTTTCCACAAAGACTACGAAAGACAAACCTCCCGAGAGGGATTTACTCCTAGATATTTGAAATTATTTTTAATTTAACAATGTTATTTTACAAAACATAAATATAACCTAATTATTAATTAACCTTTATCTTTTGTTACATATCAAGAAGCAACATTTATCAAAACTAGGAAAAATTTTATTCTTCGAAGAAACTCCACCAACAAACCCAAACTTAGATAAACAATACACAATTTTAGTATGGAAATATGGCCCAACCATCGAAAAACGCCACATTTATCACTACACAAACACAAAACACGATCCATTTAGGGAATGCAGCGTAAAAAACTGCAGGTTAACTTACAACGAAAAAGATTTAGACATTTCCGATTTAGTAATTATTCATTTACACCGAACGAAAGACGTCCAAGATCTTCCCCCGTTAACCAAAAGACCGCGATGGCAAAGATGGGCTTTTTTAACCGATGAGAGTCCTTACCATACATTCCTAAGTTCCCACACGAAATTGAAAGACTATAATGGGGTATTTAATTGGTCGATGACTTATCGGATGAATGCGGATATTCCTGTACCTTACGGAAGGACAACTTTGCGTAAAGAAAGTAATAAAATTGATTTGGCCAGTCATTTTATGGAGTGGAGACGAAAAAAACGAAGCGATGTTTTAATAAGCGTTATGGGATCAAATTGTGGCTCGAAAAATCATCGATGGCAATATGTAAAGGCTTTACAAAATTATATTGATGTTGATACTTATGGGGGATGTGGAACGTTAAAATGCCCCGGCCATTTCGGAACCGATTGCCATAAATTGGATAATTACATGTTTTATTTGTCCTTTGAAAATTCAAATTGTGATGAGTATATAACAGAAAAGCTTTGGTGGAACGCTTATCATAAAAAATCGATTCCGATTGTAATGGGGGCCAATAAACGAAGTTATAGCACCTTACTCCCACCTGGTTCTTACATCAACACCGAAAATTTTGCAAGCCCCCAAGCTTTAGCCGATTACATCAAGTACTTAAACCACACCACTGAAGATCTCTTTAAATATTTTTCTTGGTTGAAAGATTTTGAAATACACAACGAGCACGGTTACTTTCAAAGCAATTCGTTTCATTATTGCCGAGCTTGCGAAGCTCTTAATTACAATGATAAATCCGAAAAAGTTTATAATAATTTGGAGGAATATTGGAGTGTTGAAAATGATTGTCATTCGAGTTGGGACGATAAGGAACTCGATTAGTTTATAAAATAAATGTTATTTATTTTTTATTAAAGCTTTTTCAATTTTAACCCTTTCCCCAAAATTAGGTTAGAAAATAATAAAAATCAACTTACCACGGAAAATAAAAAGGAAACTGATGAAAACACGAGTTTTAAACGATTAATTAAGCCATTTACGTAAATAAAACGTTCTTATTGTTGATAACAAACACAAATAAAACTAAAAAGAAAATAAAAACAAACGAAAAACGCAACTTCAGTTGTACTAAATCGAGAAAACTTTAAAAATCAAAAAATCCCTAAATGTCAAAAAATCCCTAAATTAATTTAAATATTAATTTGATTAATATTTGCAATAATAAATAATGTATTAAAAACACTTATTAATTAAAAAATTGAAACATTTTTTTAATTTAACCTCTTCCCCAAATTAGGTTAGAAAATAATAAAAATGAACTTACCACGGAAAATAAAAAGGAATCTTGATAAATTGCCATAAAATGATGAAATCACGATCTAAACACACTTTTTAAACGATTAACTAAGTTATTTACGTAAATAAAACGTTCTTATTGTTGATAACAAACACAAACTAAACTAAAACGAAAATAAAAACAAACGAAAAACGCTACATTACTTGATTTTTGAACAAAAAAACATTAAAAACCAAAAAATCACTAAAAAAATCAAACAATTAATTTAATTAGTATTTTTAATAATAAATAATTTATTATAAACACTCATTAATAAAAAATTTAATTTGTTTTTAACAAAAATCATTAAAAATAAGTTTTAGTGACATTTAATTAATTTTGCTTTTTTTGAGGTTAAGTTAAGGACGCTGTTAACTGTCAACGCAACATATCCAAATAAATCGTTTAAAAATGACTAAAAAACGTAAATTATCAACATCTTTCGGTAGCCCCGTTAAAGTGGAAGTAAAAGAAGAAAATATCTTGGGAGATGAGTATTTGGTGGCGAAAGGAAGGTTGAAGGGAATGCTTCGAGAACTCACCGAGTTGAGTGATTCCGATACTGATTCTTCCGAGGATAGTAGGAGTTATAGATCAAGAAAATTGTAATTTATTAATTATTTAGAATATTATTTATTAATTTATTTATTTGTAGTGATCGGAAGAAAAAAAGTGATAAAACCCCAACGGTTTTTCATCACACTTATGTTATGAAACTGTTTGATCGGAGCGTTGATTTGGCTCGATTTCAAGAAGACACCCCTTTATACCCGATTTGTAGGGCTTGGATGGCTAATCAACCAAAAAATCCCCAATTAGTTATTAAGTAAATTACTTAATTTCTTTTTAATTGTAATAATTCATTACATAATTATAATTTTAGAAGACGTAATTCAAGCCCAGAACCAGACAATTCTTACTGGATGAACAATAACATTACGGACGTAACAAGATTACCACATCCCTCTAAACCGTTTATTACAAGAATTCCATCTCCCGATCCAGAGTATCAACAAAATAAAGAAACAATTAATTTGAATTATGTGAGAATTACTACAAAGGTTTTTTTTAAATTTTAATTGATGTGTTTTAGGAGGAATCTCCACCGGTTGCTAAAGATGTTTTAATAAGGAATCATTTGCAACGCTGGGTAAACATTAAGAAGAAATGGATTAAAACGGCAATTGAAAATGAGGATAGGTATACTGTTAGTAAACAAATTTTGCAAAGGATTTATAATAAAGCTCAAGAAGGGGAATAAAGTTTAAAAAGTTTTCATAATTGTGAAGTGACATAACCTAACTTGTCACTTTTCTTTTAAAAATACTTATTGAAGCCTTTTATTTTTAATCATTTAATAAATCTTTTTGAAATTTAAATCATAAATTAGTTATTACCCTTTTTACAAGAACACAAAACCAAAAAGAAGCAATATTAACATTTAAATTTAAAAATTAATTGGGGTACGTTCATAAATGTTTGTTTGAGAACGTTTTGTAGTACAACTTAAGTTATTAAAAAAACAATAATAAAATTAAATAACACATTTTTATCACGTTAACTTTCTTTTAAATAAATAATATTTATATACAAATTACCTATGGCAATTACACCTGTCAAATAATGCCGCCACATTTGACAATCACTGCATCATATGACATGTGAGATTGCATCTGATGAGCTTCCAACCAGTTATAACGTTAGCTGCTGGTTAGCTGAAACAAGGCTATAATGTCAATTATAATCTAATTATTTAATCATACCATAATTACTTTATTATACTCTTACCGAAAAATCACTTTAAAATGACGTTTTCATCTGTCATTCTGAACAAACTTCAACTTTTAAAATTCTTAGCGGCAAATTTAAAAGTATAACACGAATTGGAATCTATACTTTTTAAATTAAAAGAATGATACTGGTAATAATTGTTATTGCTGTCTCTCATCATTCCTATTATTAATAATAAAATTGTTAGTTTAATTAAATTATTTCAATACAGACATCAATCTTACCGACAAAAATAGTTTGTACAGGATGGTTCAAATTCGATGTCCGAGTAGGCTACTTTTTTTCCATCTCTTATAGTTTCCGAGTTAGCCTATTCGGACATCGAATTTGAACCAGGGTGGTACAACAAGGAATATCTTTATTCTCCTGATATTGTGCAACCGGCCCTTAGAGCTGGATTTATTTATAAGATAAATTAATCAAGAGATGATAAGTCAGCTAAAAACTTATTATTACAAAAAAATTCTTTATTATTCACATACTTTTAGCATAAGGTTGCATACAATTAATCGTATAAGTAATAAAATGTAAATCCTGCATCATTTGAGTTAATCGATTAAAATGTCTTTCAGTATATGGCAAAATCCCTTCTAAAACCCTCCCTAAACCAACCGGTTTAAACCTCCCTGATTGCAACTCATTCAATAAAACATTCAAAACTAATTGGGCCGGTTGACAAAATCGACTATTCGTATTCCAATTAGCAGCAACTTTCAACAACTGCTCCTTTTGCTCATCATTTAACTCCATTACAGCATCACTTAACCCACTTTCACCTTTTTTAATCACATTTTCAACGATTTTTAAAACTTGAAAAGGTTTGTTTAAACGTAACGCTAACTTTAACGCTTTTAAAAATTGTTCGTTTTGCATGCAATTCATTAATTGTTGTTCTTGTAACGCGAATTCTTCTTGTTCTTTGAGTTTTTCTAAACGTTTCTCTTCGGTAACGTCTTTCCACTTTAATAGTAAAGAATCGGCACCGCCGGTTATTAATTGTGATTCATCTTTTTTTACGGCTAAAGCCCAAATTCTTCCTGAGTGTTCATCGAACGTTGCGACAGTTTCCGAAGTTTTTATGTTAAAGAGTTTTAATAACCCATCAGAACCTGAGCTTAAAAATTGCATTCCATGGGATAAAAATTCGATTCTAAGTACACTCGAATCGTGTCCCTCAAACGTTTTTAAACAATTTAATTCAGCGATTGACCATAATTTAATTGAACAATCTGCGGATGATGATAACAAAACTTGATCGATGGGGGAGAATCGGACGCTCCAAACTCCTCGTTTATGCCCTTTTAAGGACCCTAAAAACCCTAAATTATCCGAAGACCAAAGTTTAACTGTTTTATCTTGAGATGCTGAAGCGATTATTTTATCGTTAGGTGAAATTGCGACTGAATTAATACATTTTTGATGCGCCGCTTCGGTTATTTGACAGTTTAAGGTTGTATTTGAATTTTTTTGGGGAATATCCCAAATTTTAAGGCAAGTATCTTCACTTCCTGATACAATAAAAGTTGATGTTAATGCAATTGTTGTTACGGAAGCGGTGTGCCGAGTTCCGACCCCAATACAAATTGGAATTTCTTCATTTAAAACCCAAACTCTTATCGAGTTATCTTTAGCCGATGAAACAAACAAATTCGGATTTGCCCTCGATTTATTTAAGGATAAAACCAAATCTGTGTGGCCCTTTAATAAGCGGCAATTCATGGTGGAGTTTTCATAAAATTTTATATCGATTGAATTCGTTGCTACGATTAAATATTGGTCGTTTGTTCCTAAATAAATTATATCTAAGATTTCATCGGAGAATCCAACAAATTGTTTGATACAATTAAACGTTTTTAAATCGTAAATTATTATGTTGCGATCGCCGGTAATAACAGAAAATTGTTTCAATTTCTCGTTAAAAATAACTTTAAAAATCGCTAAATCATTACTTGGATTAACCAAAGAATTTTCTTGGACATAAATTTCTTTGCAATTATTCATATTCCATACTCGAATAACTCCACGATCTCCCCCGGTTATCACAAAAACTTCCTCAATATCTTTATTACATTTAAAATTGGGAATTTTAAACTTCCTTGGTAAACAAATTACAGATTCAATCGTTTCCCCAATTGGAATCGTTTTTAATCCTTTTTCACTATTAATATTCCACAAAATAATCGTTTTATCCCGTCCTGAACTAACAAAGTGCTCATTGTCGCAATGGAAACTTAGCGAAGTCACCTTAGCAAAGTGCCCACTAAAAATTTTAATCAATCCACCACTTTCTAAATCAAATAAATTAATTTTTCCATCATCTCCTGAAGCAAAAATTTGATTATTTATGGGATGGAATTCGACGACGTTGACAACTCCAAAACAACCCTTTAAAGCCAACCGACACACTTGAAACTCTAAATTCCACACTCTAATAACTCCATCAGAACCTCCACTAAGTAAAGTAGCCCCTTTTAGGTTTAATCGAGCAATTGGGCCTTTATGTAAACATCTCCACTGTTTAACTAAATCCCCGGATAACGTCCACAATTTAAGTAACCCACTACGATGGCAAGTCACAAGTTTATCTTCGTTTTTTGTGAAGGTGTGAATCGTATCCGGAATTTCTTCTTCTTCAGCTAATTTTAACGAAACTAATCCTTTCTCTGTATCGAAAACTGAAATGTGAGTTGAAGCATAACAATACAAATCGTTTTCGTGCCATTCTACGTTCCCTTCCGTGTAAAAAGCGCTGTGTTTTGATTCTACTTCAAATCTAAAAACAGAAATTTTTTAGGTTATGTTTAAATTAAGAGTTAATATAATTAGGTGGTCATTGTAATGATATTTGTACTTACACTTCTTTTAATTGAGATTTCGACATGGTTTTTTAATTAAAAATGATTTATTTGTGATATTACATGAGGAAATTGTATAAGTTTGACACATGCAAAAAAGTTGGGTTATGTTATAAATTATAAATCAAATGTGGAAATTATAGGTTATACAAAACGTTCTTAAACAAACTTTTATGAACGTACCCCAATTAATTTTTAAATTTAAATGTTAATATTGCTTTATGTTTATGTAAAAAGGTAAATAAGTAGTTTATGATTAAAATTTCAAAAAGTTTCATTATATGATTACAAATAATAGGCTTCAATAAGTATTTTTAAAAGAAAATTGACAAGTTAGGTTACGTCCTATTATCTCACTTCAAGATTGTGAATTTCTTCTTCTTCAGCTAATTTTAACGAAACTAATCTTTTCTCTGTATCAAAAACTGAAATATGAGTTAAAGCATAATAATACAAATCGTTTTCGTGCCATTTTACATTTCCTTCCGTGTAAAAAGCGCTGTGTTTTGATTCTACTTCAAATCTAAAAACAGAATTTTTTTTTAGGTTATGTTTAAATTGAGGGTCAATATAATTAGATGATAATTGTAATGATATTTGTACTTACACTTCTTTTAATTGAGATTTCAACATGATTTATTTGTGATATTACATGAGGAAATTGTATAAGTTTGACACATGCAAAAAAGTTGGGTTATGTTATAGATTATAAATCAAATGTGGAAATTATCAATATAATAATAATATTTGTATTAATAATTATCTAAACACTACACAAGTGTTATTAAACTCAAGAAATAAAGAGTTTATGTTTGTTTGCGTATACCGAGAATTTCATATAACTCGCAATATACAGGTGTATCTGAATGACGTTTCCAAATTTCAGGGAGTGATTCTTTAGCAAAATTTAAGGATACTTTCTTATATGAACTATGAGTGACTTCGACTCCCCTGGGGAGCCACGCGCCTTCAAAAATGGCGGAAAATTTTGGTTTAAGTTTTTTTCATGATATCATAACACCAGGAAAATGAAATTTTAGAAATAAGTTCAGCTCATAATAGGGCACGTTTCTAGAATGTAATAACCATAGTTACGAAACTACTATGCACTTGCACTGTCCCACATCAAATACAACATAGCTTAATAGTACAGGCGTTGGGTTGGGCACGACATTTTGTCTTTGGTTCTCGGTTTAGATTTATTACTTTCATTTAGGATCTTGGATTTGCTAGTCCACCAGGTAGAAGATCCCAAATACGTAAATTGTGGCTAAACCTTGACCAAAACCGTTTTCTAAGTGTTCCGTTTTTGGTCCGCTCATCTTGACTTCCACACTTTTTAAAGTGTGTTCTGGAGCTCGGTTGCAGTCTTGGCGTTAAGGACGATGTCATTCGCATAAAGTAGATTTTAGGGTAATGTAAGATTAACCAGCAGAGGGTTAAGAACGCAGCCCTGATTTCCACATTTCCATTTCAAATTCTTGGCTGACAGCTTTACGGTTTTTCATCTTAGCCATCCAGTCCTCTGACCTTATTCATAGATTAAGAAGGTTCCTGCATCAAAAGTATCGATGACAATTTTGCTTCAAGACATTTTACTTTAATCATCTAAAACATTTCAAGCACACAAATTTTTTTCCCCGAAAGAAATATATCTAATCTATATTAATGGTACTTTTTAATAATATATAATAAATAAGAAATTAATTTATGAATTTGGAACGAAATAACATATTATGAAAAGTTTGATTAATGTTGAATGAAATCGATCGAAACCATTTAATAATAGAGACAAAGAAATTTCTTTGGGCTAATAACATTGAAGAAACGAAGAATGTGACCTTGTCACACCTGCTAAGTCTCCACCTTTTCTTCATCGTTCTCGATGGCCCCATCGTTTGTAGGTCAGCGGACGTGCGTCGGCCTCAGTGGGTCGTCGCTGGTTCTTCTTCTTTTTCTTCCACGGCGACTTTTCAATTTCAAAAACTAGTTTTAATTTCATTTTGCCTTTAAACACGACTACGAATCTAAACACGCGCATTCCATTCAAGGTGAAAGCTCATTTCCTTCCCCATTTATCACAATTTTCTTATAATTTTACCATTTCCATGTTATCCTTGAAAAGTGACAAACGTTAAAATTTAAAATAAACGTCCTCAATTCCATTTTCGTTTCGAATCGGGTCTTTAACACTTCTTGTTTTGTAAAGTTAACTTGAGGTCATACTTCCGGTTGAGGAAACGTATACATAATTGTAATATGAAGAGTAAAAAAATTACGCCGCGGTATTTGGGTTTCGGATGGCGGTATGAATACGAACGCAAAAGAAGTTTAACGTTGAAGAGAGAAGAAGAAGAGAAGAGCCCGTTAAACCGAAATCAATGCGTTGTATACCGAGAACTTTCACCGCCGTTATGGTTCCTTGATTGCTCTGGGTCAGACATCGATAAAGGCCATTGAGGTCTTTTACTCCGCCGTCGAAAGTATTTATTCGATTACTTCATTTATTAAATCGATCTAATGTTATTGGTTTTTGTAAAAATAAAAAATTATGTAAGAAATTTTCTTAAAAAAATCCATTAATAATTGCATCAGAAATGAATTAATACCATTTCACTATTTTAGATTTTAAGAACAGAAACTTAAAAAATCGTATCTTAAGATCGTAGTTAGGTACTAGCAGTTTTCTTCCAATCTCTTCTTTCTGTCTAGTTATCTTCTCCTAGCAGCTTTCTTGGAAAGGCAAGAACCTTTCCAAACTTTGTCCTGTCTCTTCTTTTCGTCCAATCTTTTTTTCACTTGTACTGAAGAAAAGGCGGAGATTGCTCCTTCTTTTATTATTAGTAATTTTCATCTCTTTCCAGTCACTTTTCAGTATGTTTCTTGTATTACCAGTTTCTTTACAATCTTCCTTTTTTCCACCCTACCATTTTTTCTTTCTCTCCAGTTCGATTTCGTTTTCATGCTTGCTCAATTTCTTTCCAGTCTCTATTCAGGACCTCTCTGTCACTTCCAGTTTTACTTTTAACTACTTTTTGAAGACTTCCTTCTCTTTGTCCAATATCATATTCTTCTCATTCAAATATCATTCTTCTATTCGTAGTCTCATATTAATTTCCTTCCTCTTGGTTTAGTTGCTTTCTTATCTTTTCAGTTTCTCTTTTTTGTGACCAACTTCTTTGACAAGGTGTGAAATGACAAGGTGTTATACATATATCATTTTAAAGAGGGCGCTTTTATCTTTAATTTGATATAAAAATCATTTCTTAATCATCAAAAATAAACTAGATATGATGTCATAAAGTTTGGCAATTTTCTTTCACCAACAATTTTAGGTTAGAATCAGGTTGTTTTTTGAAAAAATTAATAATGAAATGATATGGTATTATATATCATTTTAAAGAGGGGGCTTTTATCTTTAATTTGATATAAAAATTATTTTTTAATCATCAAAAATAAACTAGATATGATGTCATAAATTTTGGCAATTTTCTTTCACCAACAATTTTAGGTTAGAATTTTTGAAAATCATTTTTTTGAAAAAATTAATAATGAAATGATATGGTGTTATATATCATTTTAAAGAGGGATATTTTATCTTTAATTTGTTATAAAAATCATTTCTTAATCATCAAAATTGAATTAGATATGACATCTTAAATTTTGACAACTTTGACAGTTAAACTTAAAATAATAAATTTCCTTTTTATCCCCCCATTAATGAGGTTAAAGAGGTCATGGTTTTGATTAAACCGTTACAACTAGCTCTATATGCTAAATTGTGATATATGGTCTTTATAAATATGCATTTTCCACTTTGTCTTGGCTCCACTGACCTGGAAAAGTGACCACAATCTCACATAAAATTTCACCAATTTCATCCATATCATTTAAAACAAAAATACTTTTGTTGTAAAAATTGCCCAAAGAAAAATTGGTTAAACCAATACTTTCCCCCCATTATATTCTTCGTTATTGCATCAATTTCTTCTTAGGCTTTGATTTATATTTATAATTTATTTAATAAGTGTTGAGTTTTAATTCTTCTTCTTTCCTCTATAAAACTTATTAAATAAAAGTGGTAGAGGAAAACCATCGAAGACGACGTCACCGAAGGAGTATAAGAGGCGAGTTCGCCTCGGCGACGTCCTGTTAGTCGCGAAGAGGTCAGTGTTAAGGCCACACATCAAAACGTGATTGATTAAAGTTTTAATACACAAAAAAAAATAATTTGTTAAAAAAAAACAAATTGTTAAAGAAGAAATTGTTGAACATAATTAAAAGAAGTGGAGGAAATTGTTGCAAATTATTTTAAAGGAAGAACTGTAAAGATCGCGGTCATCCGCGGTCAATACCTCTTCATCTTCTTCACGTCGCGCGTGTGTTTTTAGTGTTACAACTTGGTCTTGACCTAGAAAAATACTTTCCAGGGTTGAAGACGTGGTAAGATTTTGATAGAATGCGGATGTTAACTTAAACGTTAAACAATCAGAAAACAGTTAGAGTTCAATAACACCTTTTTATTTGCAGAAAAAACCGAAAATGAAGATCCCGTTTTGTTTAACAATAATAGCTCTTTGCGTTTTACACGCCAATTCAAACCCAATCATAATTAACAGCGAAGAGAGCCCAAAAGAAACGCCAAAAGAAAATTTAGAGGAAATAAAACAAATCGAAACAACCGGGATTAAAGAAGAAGAAAAATTGGGGGTGTTCCAAGAAAATCCAACGAAAATCGAAGAAGTTAAAGAAACGGGGAGGCAATCAACCGATGATGATGATGACGATGACGACGATGATTTAGGGTTGGATTTAGATGATGATGACGACGATGATGACGCATCAGATGATGATGATGATTATTTCGATGGAATTTTCGATGATATCTTAGGAGGTAACTTAATTTATTATTAAAATAATTCATTTCTTAATCAATTAATTCTAGAAGATGATGACGACGACGACGACGACGACGATGATGAACCAGCCCAACCCGCTCCAGTTCAAACACCCGAAGATGCAGTTCAAAACGCCCAAGAAGAAGTTGCTCAAGCTGCAGAAACTGCCGATCAAGAAGTTTACACAGACGCCCCAGGAGCTGATTCTTTAATCGATAAAGACCCCGATGCCATTCAAAACACAATTCAAGAACCGGTTGTTGTTCAACCAATCGAAGATGAGGAGGAGGAAGCAGAAGATGATGATGATGACGACGATGAAGGTGATTTAGATGATTTAGCGGATGATGACGATGACGACGATGACGATGATGGCGCGGAGGATGATGACGATGACGACGACGATTTGGAAGATGTCATCGAGGCTAAGAGATCACGTGAGTCTAAATCGAGTCATAAGAAACGGTCGTCTTCTTCGAAAGGGCACCGGAATAAAAGTAGGAAGGTCAAAAAAACATTGAAGGTTCGATAAAACTTTTTTTTTAACCATAAAGGTTCAAAAAGTTAACAAAGAAATGTTAAAATTTGCATTTTAGCAAATTAATATTTTCAAATTTTTCAAATTTCCCGCCTTTTTAGTAGTACTTCTTCTTTTTGCGCTCTGTTTAATTTATTTTCGCAAAATTTTTATTTAATTACATTTTTTTAGTTAGTAGATATTTATTGATTTTGATGTGCAAAAAAAAAGAAAAATAGATGGTTTTTAGAAAAAATCGAAAAAACAAATGAGTTTTATTTATTTTAATTTCCTAAAAATTCTTTTTTCTCTTCTTCAGCTTTTTGCTTTTGCTTTGTGGTGGGTTTTGGGATCTTCAAAACAAAAATTTGAAAATATATAGACGTACAAAGTGATATCAAACTTTAGAAAGCTTAAACGAAAGTAGACGAATTCAAAAATAAAGAAAAAAAAGAACAGAACCAGCTCGCCCCGGAAGTGGGTCACTGGGTGACCTTCATCCGCGTTTCGTTTCAATTTCAAAAACTTTCTAAAAAAAACTCTTCCTTAATGAATAAGCCTCACCTAAAATCTAAATCACCACATGAAGAAGATGGCCATGACCCCTAAACAAAACACAAAAAAAATCTTTTCTTTTTTTTAATTTTAGGTTCATTGAACTCACGCGATCAAAAAATCCCCTCCGTTTACATAGCAAAATACAACCGATTTGTCGATACAATAATCGAACGGATAAACACAATTTTAGGAAAATCTTACGACCCCGTTCGAGTTAAATTACACAAAAAATCAACAACAAAACATAACCCCGCCAACAACAACAACAACAAAATCAAAAAGCGCAAATCAAACAAAAAGAAATCAAAAACGCCGTTAAACCGCCAAGAAGCAACGAATAAAATGGGCGAAATCGAATTGGCGAGAAATTTAAACACCTCATATTCAAACCCTAACTTTGTGTTAATCTCAAAAACGGGGGTGAGTAATCGCGAGGAATACAACGTTGAGAATCGGGCGAAAACGAAGAAACCTTCGAGTGTTCCTAATAAGACGAAAAATACTAAGACGAAAAATAAAACGAAAATTAGTGGGAAAAATGTTCAAAAAGCGAGGGCTACGTTGTTTGGTTTGAGTACTTTGAGACGGGATGGGGATGTTACCGTAACGACGATGAGTGATCATACAACTGTTAAAAGTGAATTTGTACTTGGGCCATTGCAATTGAGAGTTGAAAAGGAGTTTGAGAGGCAGTTAAAGAGTGCTACGGCGACTACGGCTGAGATGAGGGGGCGATTGAATTTGAGGATTTTACAAGGAGGGGCGGCTACATTACATTCTATTAAGGTTTTACAACCGAAACAGGTTAGTTTTTGAATAATTTCAATGATTTATGCAAATTAATTCATAAAAGGTTTTAAAATTTTTATTATAAATCGAGTTTACAATCCACCAATTCATGATTTTGAGGGGATTTTTGGGTTGAAACTAAAAATTGATAATAACTAGAATGAAATTCTTTGTGGGTTATGATTTAATGGTTCATTAAAAAGAGTTTTTATTCAAACGTTGTTCCCCCATCGTCTTTAGATTCCCAGTTAAAATAAATTTTAGTAACAAAATCATCAATTTTTTGAATTTGGGGATTTTTGGATTATAACTAAAAAGTGGTAATAACTAGGAGGGAATTCTTTATGGATTATGATTTAATAGATCATTAAGAACAATTTTTATTCCCCCATCGTCTTTAGATTCGCAGTTAAAATAAATTTTAGTAACAAAATCATCAATTTCATGAATTTGGAGATTTTTGGATTATAACTAAAAATTGGTAATAACTAGGATGAAATTCTTAATGGATTATGATTTAATGAATCATTAAGAACAATTTTTATTCAAACTTTATTCTCTCATGGCCTTTAGATACCGAGTTAAAATAAATTTTACTGACAAAATCACCAAGTTTATGAATTTGGGGATTTTTGGGTTGAAACTAAAAAATAGTAATACCTAGAACGACATTCTTTATGGATTATGATTTAGTGTTTCATTAAAACGAATTTTTATCCAAACTTTATTCCCTCAACGTCCAATTAAAATAAAATTTCATCGTTTTTCTTCTTTTATTATCTTTATATCATTTCCGGTTCCTCAACATTTCGTGTTAAAACTCCAATTTCTCATCTTTTCTTATCTTCCTGTCTCATTTGTTAGTTAGCTATCCCAGGAGCTTAAATTTTTATTGCAGCAATTAATAACTTGTATAAAACTACACAATTTGGTGTATAACCTATATTTCTATCCATTTAATTCTTTTCCTAACTGTTAATACATTTCGCATCATATCACATAAATAATTAGTTTTTATTCTTGATTGGAGAAAAAATAATAATAATATAGTAATAATAAGTAACAATTTATAGTGAGGTTATGAAGTTGTCATTTTTGACATTATCAACACCTTGACAGGTGTTTTAGTGATAAAACACGTTAAGAGATGTCACTAGTTAATATTCAGATTTTGAATAATTTTTAAATAAATTATAGTGTAATTAGTAATTGTGAAACTATTTTTTGAAATATACCGCATTTTTACTGTTTTAGGTCATATTTATTATAATAAATTGTGTAAAATATAATTTTTTTTTTTTAGGTTAGGGTTGAAAGTGCGGATAACCACGAGAAGACCAAAGAATTTATGTGGAATAAAAGTTCAAGAATTGCCAAAGTTGTCGCGAATAAATTGGCGGCCGCTGCTAAATCAATGTTACAACCGGCTCCGGGGATACAAAAATAATTAATACAAAGCTTTACGGAGTAATTTAAAAATTAGACTTTCATAGACTTTACTAACTTAATTTATTGTAGCATTAACACTATTTATTGATGAGTATTTATGAAAAATAAAACTTCCCCAAGTTATTATTTATCTTTTATTTGGTATTTTTTGTTTTGTTCATCATTACCAAATTTTTTTTTTTAAATAATCACCATCCATCGGAATACATCGATATATCACAGAAATTAAAATTAAACAATAAGATAATTGAGGTTGGAAGTTTAACTGGGAGGGGAAAACATCATTTTCTAACCTAACTTAATTTAGATTCCTAATCGAGGCCTTAATTAAATTGGGAATAAGGAATGGTGACTTTTTAATTCGAATTTTCGTTACCAAATTGACGGAAGTGGTTTTTTGAGGGAGAAGGAAGCTCTAATAACAAAAATATCTTTGGCACAATGTCATTTCTTTGTTACTTTCCGGCTTGATTCTAAAAGAACACATATCTATGGAAATAAACCTAAATAAACACCGTTATCTGAGTATCTTTACACATTTTATCTAAACGTTGCGTCGTTTAGTTGGGTTTTGGAGGTGAAAATGTTTTGGTGAGTTTAACTTTTTGTTCGTAAGTTATCTAGGGTAAATTTAAACTATATAAGTAATTATAATCTTTAAAAAAGTGGGGAAATAATCTTTGGGAGTAATTGCAACTATAATTCGTTGTAAATAGTAAAAAGATTGTCATTTAAAACGAAAAGAGCCAAATTTGAGAAGATTCTCAAAAATAAATCACAGATTTCCTATTAAATTAATTTTTAAATTAATTAAATTTAATTTGTTCATGTTATCTTTGCTAAATTGTAGCAAAAAAATAAAATTGGAGACTAATTTGAAGGATTTCATTCCATTCAAAATTCTACATTCTCGAGAGGTAGTTTTAAAGGATATAGGTTATGGAGTATCGCAAAATAATGCACGCTCGCAGCTAAAATAACGAAAACGTGCCAAATTGCATGAGCGCATGGAATAGATCCATCAGATTTGAAAAATACGATTCCAATAACGTATAAAATCCCACCAATCTTCAACTGAATCATACCATCAAATCCATAATGCTAATGTTATAAAATCGACCTTTATTAAAAGGAATTAATTAATTATTAAATTATGATTTACCTCTGTTACAATTGGAAGTGCTGGAAAGATTCCCATCACCAAATAAAAAACAGTCTCCAACATTTTGTACCGTTCATGAAACAGCTGTTGATAAATTATGCCTAAAATTGCTAATATCCACACAATCCATTTCATGGAGCAGGACCAGCCCTCATCTGGAAGATGTTGAATTGTTAACCATGGAAAATAAGAACCGGCTATAAATATGTAGATCATGGCTCTATCACAACGGTGGAGGAAGTCTTTTAAAACACTAAAAAAAAATAAATAAACTTAATAATTACAAAATTAATTTAATTAAAATTTACCCTTTTCTAATACTATAAAAGACACAGTGGAAAGATGTGGATATGCCAAAAAGGAACACTAAGGTGGCACCATAAACGATCGCAGACAACTTTTGGGCATTACAATGAGATCGTTCCCATAATTTAAGTGTTGCTGCAATACTAGGTAAGACTCCAACGGCGTGGGTTAGGACGTTTGCGATGTGTTCGATTTCGGTGGGGATGTAAGCTTGTTTTGGGGGAGGTTTTTCGTTTTTCCATTTTACACTAACACCAAAAAATTAATTATATACACAAAAACGCAATTTGTGCAAGAAAATACCTCCTCAATTGTTGCCATGGAACAAATCTTGAAATAAACACCATACATTGTTGTAATGTACTGTCGTTTTCTATCATACCTGCAAGAATAATTTAATTACAATCAAGATTTGTTATTAATAAAACGAATCGATCAATTAAACATTTAATTACGGTAATAATCACCAATTGTGTGTAATTTTAAACAAGCTAATATTTGAAGGTTAAAACATAGTCGGGAATAGTTTACGATTTAGTAGTCAGATTTGGCAAGTGATTTAATCTAAAAATATAGTAATTTATTAACGTACCAAACGTCCAAACGTGCTTAAACACGTCTGCCTTGAACGGACAGACGGAGACAGTATTTTTTTAACACTACTGTCAAAATTGACAGTTCTTGAATAACATAACCAAGACAAGATTTTTTTCTCAAATTAAATTAAAAATTGAAATGTTTCGAATAACTAATTTATTAATTTGATTTTTTTAAATTAAAATCAACTTAAATAAAATTGTTATGATTATAATAATTATTATAAACGTTAATTTGTGTTAATTTAAAATCAAAATTGGTAAGAAAAAATTAACACCAACATATAAAAAATTAAATTACTAAATTAATGCAATAATTAAATTAATTATAAATAACACATTTTTTATATATCGCATTCTATTTAGCTAAAAAATAGATTAATAATACGACTTTATTGTGTAAAATACATCAAAGAATTCAAAAATACATTCAAAATGAAAAGAGTCACTTTTACGCAGTGTAATTTTTCAAAACTATTTTTTGGCGGGAGTTTTAAAACCAGAGAGGATTTTAAGTAAACTGTAGTTACGAATTTAATTACTTATTTGTTTAAACATAATAAAATCCAGGACTTACTTTGTCCCACATAAAATGTAACATGTCAATATAATTTGACATTACACTAAAACCTCGATATAACACTAGACCTAGAACTACACAGAAACATTTCGTTTAGCCATTCCTTTCTTTAAGACCCACTTTTACCACTTTTTAAGACAGCTGGTAGATGGTAGATAGCGCAAGTTAGCATAAAATGTCACTATGTTGCATATTTTTATTGAACTAAAAGGTTGTTAGAGTAAAGCTTAGTGCTAATTCTACTTTTAGTTCAATAAAAATATACAACAATCTAGCGCTGAATAACAATTAAAACTAGAACTAACACTAGACCTAGAACTAGAAAGTTTCGTGTTTTTTATTCGGGCTAAACCCGAATGTTTCTAGTTCTCGGTCTAGTGTTAGTTCTAGTTTTACACTAATACTATCATTAGAACTAACACAAGACCTAGAACTAGAATCATTCGGGTTTAGCCGTCTTGAGAGACGTGCGGTTAAATCCGAATGTGTCTAGTTCTCGGTCTAGTGTTAGTTCTACAGGCAGTGGTAGGTAGTGCTAGTTAGCATAAGATATTACTGTGTTGTATATTTTTACTGAACTAAAATTAGAACTAAGACTAGACCTAGAACTAGAAAGTTATGGGTTTAGCCGTGCTTTTTCAGACTGTAGTCGTTTGTCGTGTTAGTTTTTTCATTGTTCCTCATAATTCAATGCTGTATATAGACTTTTGTCCGTCACTGTATAAATATCATTATGACATTTCCACGAACTATCAAACATTCAAACTATTTAACGAAACTGATTATTATTGAAAATATACATTGGATTATGAAAGATTTAATTCTTATCAAAATTAATGACTTTATTTTGACTTTTTTTAACAAATAAGATATAAATTGAAATTAAAACTAAAAAAAATTTTTTAAATTAGATGCGCCATCTAGACTTTGAATTAAAAACTTTTTTATCACTTCGCTTTGAATAAATGAATAAAAAGTACAAAAAAATAAAATAAATTAAATTAGAATAGTTTCATACCTTTACTTGATCTGTCTGTTCTTTTCAGAGTCACTTCGAAAACTGTTATAAAACTGATCGCGTGAAGAACTGAAACTTTGAAATTAGGCTACAGGGACTTCGCAATTAAATCGATAACCATTAATTCCAATGGAATGGATTGCCGACACGACACGATCGCCGTATTTTTCGAATAGAACACTGCCGTCGTCGGTTTTACCCCGACCTTTGACCGGAGCCAAGTCGAATTAAACGATTCGAGTTCAACTACTAGTTATACCATTAAAAAGACGACGAGACAAGAAACGGAAATTTCCTTTTACGATTTGAATAGAAAACGGTAACAAAAGGATCTTTTTAAATTGTTTAATTGAATTATTTAATTATTCAATTTGAATTATCAGTGGTACCAACTTAATTTGTTTCATAATTTAATTTGATTATAAAAAATAATATAAAAATAAATAATTTAAGATTAATTAATTAATAATATTAATAAATTAATGTATTGTAATTTGTAATAATAAAAAAATAAGTAATAATTTTTTTTTTATTCACGCGAAGTATATTTGGTTGCCTATTCATTTTCGTGTCAAATTTATCATTCAAGATTATTTTATTAATATCGAATCAAAATTAATCGTAACGGTTATTTATTACATCGAATCAAAATGAATCTAAGTTTTAATTATTGCAAAAAATTTGTGTAAACAAGATAATTTAATTTTTTTTAATTTAGCGAGTAAAATAGGATTTGTTTTGAACGGCTCGCGCATGCGCATTATCGTTCGTTTTTCCCGTGTCAGCTGTTAGTCGATATGGAGTCAATTTAACAGGACTGTGCAGGACAGTCAGTGGTTTGTTGTGATACGTGATTATCGTCAAGGTCGTCTTTGTGTAAAAAGTTTCGCGTTCGGTGTGTTTTTCGTAAGATTCATCGTTTTTTAGGGGGATAATCTGTGCGATTTGTACGGTGGCTAACGCGGACGAATCTGTATTACCAATGAATAACGCAGCATCGTCGGACTGCACGAATTCGAGGCGGTACTTTGTTAATTTCAACCAGGATTGCACGTAAGTTGCCCCAAAAAATCATTATTTCGTCAATTTTAATTAAAAAAGAAAAATGTCGCATAGATTATTTTGATTTCTTGAAAATTTTCGGGGTTAATGGAGGGGGAGATTTTGACATATTTAATTTTATTATTTGTTATTAGTTGAAAACCACAATATTTGTCCTCGAAACAGCTGATTCTTTGTTAATAACTAATGATTTCGTCAGTTTTAGAAAAAATAAATAAGAAAAATTAGAAACAAATCGAAAGTTGTTTTGTAGATAAAACAGGTTTTTTTTATATAGTATTAATTAGGGAACGTTCTGATATTGATACAAAAAAGGAAATCGAGTCACAAAGGACGCAATCGTCCATCTGTGGAACGCAATTCGATCCTATTTTGCGTTCTCTATGTCATTGTTTACGTCGTTATATACCTATATAATTTTTTTTTCGATGTGTAGGCGTTTGGCAACATCGCCAGACTGATTGTCTATTGTTTTCAAGGACCCCTTTTGATTTAATAAAAATCGCGACGAAAAACTGCTTAAGTTTTAATCACATTTTTATTTATTCTTTAATTTTAATCGCTTTTGACCCCAACCTTGGTGATTATTATATAAAATCTACAGGGTGATCATTATTTATCATAATTGGTAATATAACCTCAAAACAAAAAAAAACAGCTTAAAGCGCCACCTTGCGGAGTTATTAAAATAAAAATTTGACAGATAAGTTACTTAAGAAATTGACACAAACAATAACTAATGTTTAGCATTGTTAGATGTCACTACGCACATTAAATTTGTAACCGTAAATTATTTTTGATTTAATTCTTAGTAAATGATTTTAAAAGATTATGAGTTGAGCGATGATTGCCTCATAATAAGATGATAGCATAAAAGCAAGTTGCGGTTTTGCCACAAAGTGCATAAAGGTAAGACATATCTTGACATCTGTCAAAGTGACATTATTTGTAACCTCAACATCATTTATAGCATAATAAAAGTAATCATTCATGACATCGTCTTTATCATATTTGCATTTGCGAAGTGACGATAAACGATTTCATATGCAAGATGAGCAATTTCATACATAAGAGTTGCATATTTAGTTGACTTTCCGAGGTAGTACATGAACTATATCATCTAATATCGCCAAGGTTTGATCTATGGTGGTCTATGAGGTATTGGTCTATGATGCGATAGATGCATTACTCCATCAAGGTTTCATAAAATCTCCATACAATCTAATACAGCTATAAAGCTACATCATCTCTGTGTTAAGACGCCAAGATTAATGGTTTAAATTATTTAATTTTTATGGTTTATAACTAATTAATAAGCTATTTTTTATTATTTTCAGATCACTCGCAGTTGGCAGTCAAAACGGTTATAGACTTTTCGCTTTAAACAATAGCATAGACGCCCTCGAACAGATTTACAATAACACAACCGAAGATTCATGCATAGTTGAGCGATTATTTAGCAGCAGTTTGGTGGCGGTCGTTTCGATATCGACGCCGCGGAAGTTACAGGTGTGTCATTTCAAGAAAGGCACGCAAATATGCAACTATTCGTACTCGAATACGATATTGGGAGTCAAACTAAACAGGTAAACGATAAAAATTAAAAGAAAAAACTTCACAAGGACAAATTCACTTTCGAAAAAGTGCTAACAAAAAAAAATATGATGAAAAAGTTTGAAAACGGCGAGTGCAAATCGAATTTCGAAACGAGTTAATTTCGCTCGTTGTTGCAACTTGGACGGTTTTATAAATGACTGTTATTTAAGCTTATTTTTTTTTGATTACGTTTTTTTTTATTGTGTTCTTGCGGTTTTTGTTGTTGCGCAATGCAAAATTAGGTTTTACTGTTTTTAATTTATTGATTTATTTTATGTTAATTAATAAACAACAAAATAGAACATTGATTTTATCTTATTTATTGCTTTGTTTAGGATTTAGACAAAGAAAAGATTAAATTAACGATAAAAAAACTTGCGTATAACTTGGTTTTAATCGTAATAACTTTAAATTGCTGACGTGTGCGACCAAAATCCGTTTTTTACTCAATTAAGATAACGTCACAAAGCTTATCAAAAACGGTATTTACCAACTTTATCGATTAGAAAGCCTTGAACGATCAAAATCGCCCTTGATTGTGTTTGTTTTGTTTTATTTCGATATCGCGATTATCAAACATAAACATATTTAAAACATTAATAAGTAATCAGTCCTTTTTAATTTTTATTGATTTAATAAACAAAGTAAAATGTTTAATTTGCAGAGCAAGACTTGTAGTATGTATGATAGACAGCATATGTATACACAACATTCGAGATATGAAAGTTCTCCACACGATACGGGACACACCTAGAAACCCCCAAGGATTATGCGCCCTCAGTACAAACAATGAGCATTGTTATTTAGCTTATCCCGGTTCATTAACCGTGGGGGAAGTCCAAATTTTCGACGTTATGAATTTGGTAAATCTTAATTAATCCAAATAAATTCATTTTATTGATTAATTAATTCTTTAGCAAGCCAAAACGATGATTCCAGCCCACGAAAGTCCCGTGGCGGCTTTGGCGTTTAGCCCGAGTGGTATTCGGATAGCCACCGCTTCCGAAAAGGGTACCGTAATTCGGGTGTTTTCGGTTGTTGACGGTTCAAAAGTGTTCGAATTCAGGAGGGGTATGAAACGGTGCGTTGCGATCTCTTCGTTGGTGTTCAGCATGTGTTCTGGGTTTTTGGCGTGTAGTAGTAATACAGAAACTGTGCATGTTTTTAAATTGGAGGAAACCAGCAATGCGTAAGATAAAAGAGATGTTTCATTTTTATGGGGAATAACTGAATCTTATTTTTTAAGTGATTTTAAACGTGGTGATGATTCATCTTGGATGGGTTATTTATCGACGTATCTTCCAACGCAAGTTTCGACGGTGCTTAGTCAAGGAAGAGCATTTTCAACAGCTCATTTACCCGTGAGTGGTGTTAGAAATTGCGTTGGAATCACAGTGTAAGTTATAATTAATTTTTTTATTAGGGTGTCATATTTAGCACAAGCGGCGGAAGACGGTTAATTTGATACCAAACTCGGTAGATTTCTACTAAATATCATAGGAGTTGTAATCAAAAAAGATAATAATCCGCCATCTTGGATAATAATTTGTTTAAAACAACGAAAATCTCGATAAAGTGATTGAATTTTTAATTTCATTTCATTTGATACCAAATTAAAGCAGTTTCCCGTAAATATCGACCTTATTACTTTTATTATCTTTTCAGGACATAATAATAACTATTTTTTTTTATTACAAAGTGCATAAATGGATAGGATTTTGAATTTTATTTAATTTGATACCAAACTCGACTCATTTCTATTAAATATCATAAAAGTTGTAATCAAAAAAGATAATAATCCGCCATCTTTGATAATAATTTGATTAAAACAACGAATATCTCGATAATTAAACGAAATAAATGTGTCGAGTTTGTACTCTTTTTAAAGGAAATTTAAGTTCACATCGATTAAAACGAATTATGAACTTATTATTATTATAACCTTTTAATTTGGTACCAAACTCGATGTATTTTTAATAAAAATCGTTAAAATTATTATCAAAACGGCCATCTTTAATAATAAATTGTTGTTACCTTCATTATTATATTACCGCAAATAAGTTGAGTTTCGAGAATTAAGTTGTTTTTTGTTAAACAGTATTCAAAATCAACTGAGATTATTGGTAGCGACTGAAGATGGGGTCCTCTACGTTTATAACATTGACCCAAACGAAGGTGGCGATTTAAGTTTGAAAGTTCAGCACCGTTTGGACGGCGGAATGGAAGAAACGAGCGAATTAGATTCCGTCAGCAACAGAACGACGACGGAGCATGTTAACGTCGAAGCGGCATCAGGTAAATATAAAAAACAAAAAATGCATTGCTTGGTATCTTAATTTATTTTTTTGTTAAAAGTGTTAATGAAAAAAGAAAGTTAAAAGTATCGGATGAAAAAAAATGATATTTATTTTGTTGTTTTGTTTTGCAGCTTGCATTTTAGCAATTTGTTTTATGGTTTATTTGTTGTTCTTTTGTACTCTTTAACGTATACGATTCAATTTCCATATATTTATATAATGCGTTAAAGGGATAGTTTTGTTTTATTTTTGATAATTAATCGATCTGAATTTGATTATTTCGTTCCTATTATGTTTTTGTGATAAATAAAATTCTTTATTTATTTTTTTTGTTAATACATCTTATTATTTTTTTTAAGTCCTGCATGATGTTATTTTTTGTTCTTTTCGTTTTCGCGCTTTCCGAACAATATCTTGTTTATTCTTGTGTATATTTTTTTTAAATCAAATGTACTTGACCTTTGTCTTGCGACATAATATCCGGCACTTTTTTCGTTGTTTATTTTATTTTGTGTTTAAATTAATTTAGAAACCGCTTTAGCCACATTACATTGACTGAGGCGGATCGAAAAGTGCCGTACATTCAATTAGTTTCCTCTGTTTTTTTACCTTAATTATACTCGACTCCTTTTTATAGTTGTGGTTATAAATTTTAAATTGGCTTAAAAAAAGTATTAGCTTAAAAATTTTGTTATAATTAAATATCTGGAGTTAATTCGATATAGATAATTATTTATAACTAACAAAATTCGTTTTTGATGAGAATTAATTATCCACAACTTGATTTAACCAGCTTAACCTGAAACCAAGTAGTAAAACATAACCCGCACCTGTTTTTTTTCTGTTACTTGCAAGGCTCGACAATAGGTTCCTACGCGGGCGTCCTCAAAGGCAACCCAATCGGACAAATGTCAGGTACTGGTCAGTATATTAAAAAAACTGTCACCGTAACGAAGGCGCTATTTTTATTTTAATCATCATCACGCATTTTTTATTCTTTATTAGCATCCATTTAAAAAAACAACCATCAAGCACGCTTCCGCAATTAGCAGCACTTCTTATTTGCAATTCTATATTTATTTTTATTATTTTTTTAAAATTTAAATTAAAAACCATCTAAGTGTTTAATAAAAAAGACATCTAGAGGGCCATGATTTTAGTTATTTTATTTTTTCATTTAGGTTTGAGTTGGTAGTATTAACATGACGTAAATCTACTAACAAATATTATTAGTATTGATGTTATTTAATATTGCTAGTTTCGGCGATTAATCGTTATCTTCAGGCAAAATTGATTTGTCATGGTGTAATAGTTATTTATGAAACAATGATCATTACAAATATGTTGTAAATAGCACGTAAGTATTAATAAACCGTTCATTACTGGTCAATAATCATGCCTAATAAAACCTCTACAATCTTTCATCCAAGAGATTCTGACTTTCCATAAATCCTTGTTCTAAATTATTAACTTCTTCATATTTTCCAGGTAGATTAGCAAACCTTTAAGTAAAAGCTCTTCCTAATCTGATTTCTTCTTTAATTGCTTCTAAATCCTAGAATATATTTTCTATATACAAATATACACCTTAGACTAATCACCACCATTAAGACGGCAATAGAAGATGTTTTAAATAGAGTTTTTATAAATGGAAGAGAGGAGCACAAAAAAGAGATGGATTTAAATGGCACAAAAAGATATACAATCACTTGCAAAAAAGCAATTAAGAAAATGCTAGATGAGCATAAGACAAAAATATGGAACCAGATCCTCTTTGAGGGTGGAAATCTAAATTAATCCATATGGAAGCTTTTAAAAAGGATAAGAAGGAAATGGATCCTAAAAATTCTAACAGACCAGAGGATTTTTCAACATGAGCGAAATTGACGATAATATTCAACCTGTATAGTGAGACACCTGTATATTAGATACGATGTTAAGAAATGACAGCCGTAATTGATTTCTGCCCAGAATCCAGCCTGTATAGTGAGATGTCAAAGATCATGTTGAGAGACGTCACGGATAAAGTTAAGTACTGCGGGGAACAATGTTGCGAGATATTCAAAGTGACATTGAGTGCTCTCTGGGACGATGTTGAGAACCAAAGATTATGTCTTGAAACTCTTGAATAATGACGATGTTGATATATGTCAAATATGACATTATTATTGAGAAATGACAGCTGTAATTGATTCTTGCCCGGAATGGACAGACGATTTTGACAGATAGAGACCTAAACGATGTTGATGTGGACTGAGGGCATGAATGGTTGAAGTTAAGGGTTAGAGATGATGTCGAGTGCTATCTAGCACAATGTTGATGGGTGCCAGATGATATAACCCGGAACGATATTGAAGTTTGTTAGGGATATTATTGAGAGATGACCCGTATGTCGGGAGAGATACCTTCATGGAGGATATATTTTGATGTTAAATATTTCAATAAATCTATTTCCAAAATTGTTATGTTTCGATTCCATCTTATAAATATCTACATTAATTTGTCAATATTTTTCGAAATATTTTTGTCTCAAAATTTTCCATGTCATTCTAGAGGTTTATTTTTATTAAGCACGCGATATTTTGTTTTTGTGGAGCGTTTCTAAAAACAAATAATAATAATCATCTTTCTTTTCAAAACTAACCTTATATTATCATTTCCTTTTATTATTTTCATTTTATTTATCTATTTTCTCTATTATTCTTGACGCGCCAGCCACATAAACAAGGTAAAGAACCGCCACTCAGAAACATTTAACACCTAAAATAAAATTACTTTTAATAATTAATGTGTTTTTACTTAATTTGTGAATTTTCACTAAAATTTCATTGTTGTAGACTCGGAAAAGTTCCGTGAGATGGCGGCAGCTACCGAATCGCCCCCAAAGGGGGGTTTCCAGTTTAACGACGACCAAGAGTATCCACCGTTAACGCAAAAGACCGACTGAGATTCAATCGGGTGCCGTCAGTGTCGCTACCAGATGATGTTTGGGACGATATTCTTAATACACGTTCTAGTGCGGATGAGCGAAGAACTCATATTTTATCTATTGAGCTTGGATGAGTGAAATTAATTTTTTAATATGTTTTTTTTTGTCGTTGAGTAAGCGCAGTATTGTTGTATTACCTTTTTTTTATTTGGGTTGGTGTTAATGACTTTATTTTATCAAAAAATTTGCAAAAAATTAATAATAATAATTAAAGAAAATACATATCTTTAATTTTAATTTAAAATTAAAAAAAAATAGTTAATTAACACATTATTATTTATTAATTAACTTATAATTTATAAATGAATGTGTTTTGTACAAAAAAAAGAAGGCTTTGTCAGAAAATAACGATAAAATAACAAAAAAAAGAATATAAATAAGGCTTAATTAAATTGTGCTGAGAAAAATTAAAAAAAATAAATCATTAAAACTTTACAGAGTGCTTTAAAAACAAAATAAACAAAAAAAAACTATTAAATAAGATTTAATTGTTGTAATGAATTTATTTTTTTATACAAAACTCAAAAAAAAATCGTCTTCTTTTTGTGTATTTAATTGATGAACATACTTTGTATAATTGACGATGATGATGATGTTAGGATGAAAAAATCCCTTGTAAATATATTCGATGATTTAGTGGATTTATGTAGATCATTTAATGTACTATAAAGAAAAAAATAACCATGTTTAAATGTGGTATTAGGCCATTATGTACTTGTAGGTTTCTCTTCTAGTTTAGTTTAAAATAAAAAATGACAAATTTTGTATATCAAGATAATGTATATCACATTATTGTTTTTCTTTTTAATTAAAATTTTTTTTTTTTTGAAAAATAAAAAATTTTCAATGTTACCAACTTTGTTTTTATGTTATAACAAATACTAAACTTTGTATCTGAAGTAGAAACATTCATTAAAATTAGCACTATACTTAAAACCAACACTAGTCCAAGAAATAGAAAGATTCTAGTCTGAAGACGCACGACTAAACCATAAACTTTCTAGGTCTAGTATTAGTTCTAGTTTTACACTAGCACTATTACTAAAGTAGAACTAACACTATACCTAGAACTAGAATCATTTAGGTTTAGTTGCACGTCTCTAAACACTGCTAAACCCTAAACTTCCTAGATCTAGTGTTAGTTCTAGTTTTAATTATTATTTAGTGCTAGTTTTAGATCATTAGAACCAACTGTACACCTAAAATTAGAAAGACTCGCGTTTAGAATTAACTACATTATAATTTTAAATCAAATCAAAAATGACGTTCCTAAACCGATCAATTCAGATCATCCCGATTAAATATTTGATTACTATTATTTAAAAGCATTTTCTTTTTTGTTCTTATTAATAGCCTTCTTTTTATTAATAATAATTATTAATTTATTTAAATTTTTATTTGTTCTCGTTTCAATTTATATAAATAGATGGCGCTAGTAATGAAATCATCTCAACTTCAAGGGGGACGTTTAAAGGATTTTTGGTAAGATTCTTTTTAAATTTTTACAATAATTAATACAAAGTCACATTATTTAATTAAATTAATACAACATATAGATTAATTCGTATATCTTTTTATTGTTTTAGTTTATATTTATATAAATAGATGGTGCTAATAATGAAAGTGAGTGTTCGATTAAATATTTCATTACTATTAAATAATAGTAGTAGTAAAAGTATTTTCTTTCTTGTTCTTATTAATACTCTTCTTTTTATTAATAAAAATTATTAATTTATTTTAATTTTTATTTGTTCTCGTTTCAATTTATATAAATAGATGGCGCTAGTAATGAAATCATCTCAACTTCAAGGGGGACGTTTAAGCGATTTTTGGTAAGATTCTTTTTAAATTTCTTCAATAATTCGTAGAAAAACACATTATTTAAATAATAAACACAATATATAAACTAATTCGTATATATTTTTTTTATTGTTTTAATTTATATTTGTATAAATAGATGGCGCTAATAATGAAAGTGAGTGTTTGACATGAAAAGTTTTTATAAAGTTTTAAATGAAAGTAATATTTAATTGAAAGGTTTGAGGGCGATTTTGTTAACTTAACACCACAATTTCATCATTGATAACTATTTATTTGTCGTTTTTATTTGTTTATAGGTGTTGAACTAAGAGATAATCTTTTCAACTTCAAAGGGGTGTTTTAAACGGTTTTTGGTAAGATTCTTTTTAAATTTTTACAATAATTAATATAAAATCACTCTATTTAAATGAATTAACACAACATATAAACTAATTCGTATATTTTTATTATTTTGTGCTTAATTTTATTAAAAAAAATTTTTAGGTTAGATCCTTCATCTTGTGATTTATAATAATAAGAAAGTTTAATTTAAAAACAGCCTTTATATTTAATAAGTTCGTTTTTTAAATCTTCAATCATTTTGGCATCCCTCCTCTTTTCGTCCATATTTTTTCTTTGTTGCTCAATTATAATACTTCTATAATGATCCTCAAGTTCAGCAAAAATTTTTTCAACTTCAGTTTGCTTACCATCCAAAGTGCTGGCTAATAATTCGGCCTTTTGAGTCGTCAAAGCCAACTAAAACGACGCAAAATTAATAATCTTTGAATCATATTTCAAATTAAAATAACTTTAACTACTTGGTTCGTTTTCGTTTTATAATCCAATTCTTTTCTAAGCTTCGTTAACTGTTTAGCATTTTCCTTTTCCGATTTTTGATACAACTTTTCCATTTTTATTATACATTTTTGCAAAAAATTTATTTTCTCAATATAAGAATCACTGCTATTAGACATATTCGACTCAATTTGATTCCGAATCGTTTGCACCTCTTCCTGCATCCTTAAACACTGTTCTTGAAGTAATTGTTCCAATTTTTCAATTTCAACGTCTTTTTGATTCAGTCTTTCTTCGTATTGTGCTTTAAAATATCTTAATTTTGTTTCGTACTCGGAAATAATATGATTATTTCTATGATCGAATTCATCTTTGATTGTGGATAGACGATTCTCGTGGGATTCTCTTAAATCGTTCATTTTTTTCGAATATTCTAGTTCTAAATCTAACATTGTTTGATTAAATTTTGATTCTAATTCGGTTATTGCTCTTGCGTGTACCTCTTTAAGCATATCTGTTTCTCTACCGTGAAATTCAATCATTTTTTGTTTTTGACTTGTAAGTTCCTTAAAGAAAAATTAAAAAATTAGCATAAATTGACCCTTGCCTCTTTCAACATTTTTTCTAACATTTTTTTCATTATTATAACCGTTGGTAAACAACATACCTGATATCTCTCAATCATTATAATTGATTTTGTTCAATATTATCAGATTGAAAAAGAAAATTTCTTACCTTGCGTCTTTCAACATCAAAATCGTCCAATTTTTTAATCAAAACATTATTATCCGCCTTCAATTCATTATACCGTTTCTGCAACAACCCCAACTTTTTTTGCAACGTCATAACCGCATTTTGCCACTCAGAAATAACATTATACTTATTATTTTGCAACGACGTTTTAATATCAACCAACTCTTGTAGGCGCGTTTTTAAACATTCCACCTCAGTGGCCAAATTAAAAATGCTCGTTTCACCTTTATTATTTTTCAAATCTTTCTCGTATTTATCAACGTGTTGATTTAAGACGTTATTTTCATCTTTCAAGTCTTGAATCATTTCCATTAAACTCGCGATTTTTTGTTCGTACGCTTCTCGGAGATGCAAAGCTTCGTTAACATCGTAAATTCTCGGCGTGGCATCACCTGAACCAAAAATAGTTAACGTTGTACTTAAATTATCAGTTACATCCATCCACGAACTTTCGTCATCTTGATTTTGATTTCTTTTTATTACTTTGACTGGGAAGTAATCGTTTTTTTGTTGGCCTTCGTAATATCCCATTGGGGTGATCCATTCTTCGTTGGTGTAAGAAATTTGGTTATTTACTGTGTGGATGTTGTGTTGCTTTTTGGTTTTGCTTTTTTTCTTTTTTAAGTTTCGATTTTTTACGTTTAAATCTTTGGAAATTTTCGTAATGTTCTCGCGGACTTCGTTTAATCTTTCTTGGGCCGATTTTTTTTGTTGGTTTGATTCTAATTTCTCCTCTTGCTTATTAACCGATTGTACCCAAGGATTATTACTATCTTTAGTCACTTCGATACTCTAAAAACAAGAATAAATTCATTAAATAAATTTGATTTTTTAATTATTATTTCAAAACTTGATTTTTCCAGTTCGTTTTAAAAGGGGGTAATGCGCCAGGTGATGGGGGGTCAACAAATGGCTCCACAAAAACGCCACTGACAATTTGTTTTCCCAATTCGACTAAATACTCGTTTCGAAGAGTTTTGTTTTCTACTTTGGTATCGCTTAATTTTTCCAACCAAACTCGAACTAATTCGATGTAATGGTTATTCATGATACAAGTGATGTAAGGTTTGATGTTTCTTAATGTATTTAAATACTCTATATCCAAATTATCTTCTGCTTTTCGAGCAGGATCCATTTTTTTTTAATAAAAATAATTAATAAAAAAGAGTATGAAATGGTAAAGTTATGAAAACGTCAAAAAATGACAACTATGTTTTTTTAATTAATAAACCGGAAGTGATTATATAAATTAAAAATTTTTTATTAAAACTAATTCCTGGATAAAGATTAAATTTCACACTAAATTAAATCAATTAATTTTCTTGAGAAACCATCTTTACGTAACTTTTTGTTCTAAACACGTGTTATTATCATTGTTTTTGAATTATATCTTAAAATGTTAAAAAAGGATTTTTTAAATGATGAATCAATGTTTTAATCTTTATTTGTTTTCTTTTTGAATGTTTCTTTGAGTCATAAAGATTCACCTTGAACGCGTGGAACACGACTCGGTTTTAAACCCGAAGAATTATGTTAAAAGGATGCATGCGGTGACCATTTTTTAAACGATTGTCATCAGCTGATGGTATTTTTATTTATAATTCTTGCGTAATAATCTTGCGGAATTTATGATTAATTTAATTTTTTTTAATAATTTTCGAGCTTGATAAAGCAGCAGAACACTTGTCCACGGTCTACTGGTCGCGAAATGAGGGTCGATTTATTTTTTTATCTACGCGCACCTGGTATTAAAAACCGTACACCTGGCGGAATTGGTATATTCTCCTCTTAAAAACGAACACGTGCTTTTTTTACTATTTTTATGTGGGTGATATACAGTTAAAACGAACAAAAAGAGTTCATCGTTCTGTAAACAGAGACTTCTTTCAATTTTAAAGAAACCAATACATACTCTTTGTTAAAACCTAATAAGAACAAGAATTTTGATATATTCTGAATGATACTTTATATAAAATTTAGGAAAAAATTCCTGAAGATGGATCTTCGAAACCAGTAGTATCAATACATACATGTGTGACTATAATTATTATTTAGTTCTCGTTTGTATGATTTTTTTCAGCTAATTCTCTACATAACATGTTTTCTGGACATTATTGCTATACCAAATCCTTGATTTTGTAAAAATATATATTTCACACATTTCCCGTTGTTTCTTCAAGTATAATATACTGTTCCGCTCTTACAAATGCCATACGTAGTTCACAAACCGCTAGCGAGTAATGTGTGTTAGAAAGAGATAGCATTAGTTTAATATGTCTGCTGTACAATTCAAATGGTCGCGTCGAAAAAGTACGTCTGTTCTTCTAAGGGATGTAACTCTATAACTATAACCTCAAATCGAAACGTCTTGTGAATTTGTTGACGTTTTCACAAGCCGAAAACGAAATAAATTAATAATTAATGAATAAATTATGAACTGTTTAAATAAAACTTACTTAACCCTATGTGTCCCAAGAAGTCAAACATTTTGAAACTTTGTGACAGAATTAAAACGCTATCAAAATGCACTCAGTAAAGGGCTTTGGAATAAAATTTTACCAAAATATGCAATCCCCCTATTTTCGCATAGTCTAAGTGTCAAAAAAGATGCTAATTCAAAAATTCCTGGAAAGCGTGTTTATTGAAATTAAGAAATAAAACTTATTTTAAATTGAAGCTTAAAGCTTTCTGTTTAAATCGATGTATAACAATCGATGGGTTAAATTAGAAAAATATTGAGAAAAAGAGTATTGAGTTAAAACTAACATTTTCGTATAACCTAAAAGTGTCAAAAAAGATGCTAATTTAAAAATTCCTGGAAGCCGTATTTATTGAAATTAAGGAATGAGACTTATTCTATATTAAAGCTCAAAGCTTTCTCTTTAAAATGATGTATAATAATTGTTGGGTTGG